TTTTTTCCGAAGTCCCAAAAGTATGACGTCACAACAATGTGATTGGTCACTTGCAATGTTGAACCTGGAACAACATCTATTATGATGATGTGGGAACAACACCAACACGAGGATATCAGATTGTGCCTCATACTACAGTCCAACATCATGGGTTGTGATTGCTTTGCTTACTAAAAGGATTTGCAGTTGTTACTAGATAGCAGCAGCTGACATAAACATCACTTCTGTAAAATTCAGCCAGTCTTACAGCCTTTTATCCCAATGTAACAAAGCAATGCTGGTGCATGTATGCAGCTTCCCTCTATCATAACTGCACACCAGCTTTCCTTTGAACCCGCCTGCTTGTTAAAGTTCTTTCAAATTACACGCCTCAAGTTAGTTTCAAGTGAATTCTGTGTTTGTTTGTTTGTCTAATGCAGGGATGCCAAACTCATTTTACATGGTGGGTCACATACAGCACACTGTGATCTTAAGTGGACCAGACCAGTGAGACTCCCATTTCTCTCTGTGTTTAACTGCACATTTAATCTCTGAGATATGTTGACATAAGAAAAAGAATTGTAATGTCAACAGTATGTCTCGGTTTATCTACAGGATGAAGAAATGCTGATGTATTAAATGAAAGAAGTCTGTCACCATGACTGGTTGGGTTTAAATTGTAAGAAAAAAAAATGCGGAAAATTACGAAGTTCTGGTAGCTCATTGCTCAGATTGTCCTGTCAGTATAAAACAGAAAGTTTCTGTAAATTCACAAAAAATGACAGATTTTTTTTATTGTGTAATTTCTATATTAGATCAGATTTGTCAGTTGCTCAGTTATTTTGGAGTAGTATGTGCAGTTGCTGCGGAGGTCCTTATTAGACGAAACAGGGCAAGTTGTAAAATTTATCGGAATGCAGACCAAAATTTATGCCCTTGTTCACATGTTCCAAAGATGTGCAGTGGGCTGGATTGGAGTCTGTGCCAGGCTGATTCTGGCCCCCAGCCCTTATGTTTGACACCCATTGTCTAACATCTCTGCTTATATCAACACATATTTTGCAGTGTGGACTGGATTTATAAAGGGGTTG